CCCTCTCTCTCTCTCTCTCTCTCTCTCTCTCTCTCTCATGCACGGATCGTCAGATCAATCCATCAGTCATCAGTCTGACTGGTACAAACGGCCGTTATGTAATCAGACTGATATGAAACGAACACAGAGACACTCTATTAGTCCATCCAAACGTTCAGCTGAAGCTGTGTGTGTGTGTGTGTGTGTGTGTGTGTGTGTGTGTGAGTGTGTGTGCGAGTGAGTGTGTGTGTGTGTGTGTGAGAGTGTGTGTGTGTGTGAGTGTCTGTGTGTGTGTGTGATTTCATGTTTGATCAAGACAAGATGACGTTGTTTGTTAATGAACATTTAATCAACATTATAGGAAGATTATACTAAATTATATTTCAATATTGATTACGTTTATAGTAATATTTATACTATTTTAATATTTTACAATACTGAAATGATTGAATTTATTATTAATTAAATTTATATAAATACATTAATACTATTAGGGCAAGTGAAAGAACTGAGGTATTTAAGTAATGTGTTTAAAATTGTTGTCTTTTCTGTACATTGTGTTTACAAAACGAAATGATGTCACAGAAAATGTGTTGATGAACATTATAGGAACGTTATATTAAATCATGTGATTAATTATTTCATTATTAATATTAATTTGTTATTTAATTTGTAGAAATACTAATAGAACAACTAAAATAGAATTCAAGTTTAGGAGGACCAATATTTATACAAATATAAGTATATGATTAATATTTATTATTCTTATTGAGTTTATTGATGATGATGATACTATACTATTATATGATACTATTTTATGAAGCACTGAGATATCAATATTTAGTTAGTGAATTTTAAAATAGTGTGAATGTGTTATTTGCCATTTCTTTAATTGTAAAATAGACTTTTGTGCAATTTGTAAAAAAAAAAAAATCTGTCTTAAAACTGCCTTTAAAATTGACAATTTTTGTGAATTCTTATAAACTAAAATTCCAAGACTATATATATACATATATATAGTTTTGGAACATATAATTACATAATTAATAATTATTATTACATATTTAAACTGTCCAGAATACAATAATACACAATATGCTAAAGTTGTGATTATGAACAGATTCATAAACATGCTTCATAAATATCTCAGAAGTTGAAAGCAGCATCTCAGAGGAGAGCAGAGAGATAAATAATTCATGCTCAGACTAAACCTGCAGCACTGCACCACACATCTTTAATTTATACTGGACACGCACACACACACACACACTCTCTCACACACTCACTCACTCACTCACTCACTCACTCACTCACTCACTCACTCACTCACACACACAACGTAAACATGGTTTATGAGGACACTTCCTGTGTCCCCGTAAAACAAAAGTTTTAAAAAACATACAAACTGGTGTTTTATGAAATTCAAAAATTGGCAGCAGTTTCCTGTAAGGGGTAGGTTTAGGGGTAGGGTTGGTGTAGGGCAATAGCACATACAGTTTGTACAGTATAAAAACCATTACGCCTATGGAATGTCCCCATAAAACATGGAAACACAACGTGTGTGTGTGTGAGTGAGAGTGTGTGTGAGTGGCTCCAGACACACATGATGTGTGCAAGCATCCAGTTTCACACACTAATCTGTCCAGATCTCACAGCATCACGAGTGATTCTAGACTCTCTTCAGTCGTAGAGATCCCTCAGTTCTCTCTGCTGCTGATTCCTCTATTGTTTGTGTTGAAATCAACATTTAAAATTCATTATCACTGCAACTTCAATTACCTGTGAAGACTGATCTAACCAGCAGAGCACAAACACACGCATCAGTGGATGTGACATTGTTGCTGTTCCCTGAGTATTGATTCCTGTCAATGTGTGTGTGTGTGTGTGTGTGTGTGTGTGTGTGAGAGAGAGAGAGAGAGTGTGTGTGTGTGTGTGTGTGTGTGTGTGTGTGTGTGTGTGTGTGTGTGTGTGTGTGTGTGTGTGTGTGTGTGTGAATGTTCTGTTGTGCGGAATTCTAAAAGCGTTATTTTAATACCACTGTGACACACACATGTGAGATCCTTAAAGGGACAGATCACCTAAAAATATCAGTTCTGTCATTTCATTCCAAACACATGCTGCTCTTTTCCATGCAATGATAGAGAGCAGGAACAAATGCTTTAAAAAATGACTAAAACATACAAAAAAGGGATAAATTCTTGTTTTCACTACACTGTAAAATTATTGTAGATTATTGGAGTAAGTTTTGCTGGGAAAAATCTATTTCAGTCTTTCTACTTCAAAATTTCATGTTTAGTTCAACGTGTTACTTGCCATTTCACTATAATTAACTGTAAAATTTACTAGCGATTTCTGAAAAATAAGTTTATAAAGCATTTTTTTTTGCATTATTACAGCATTTTTTTTTACAGATTTAAAAAATAATTTAAATAAAAATGTAAAAATAATACAAAAAGATTGTATGTTCATTCCAAGCTCAAAATTCTCTTTAAAAAAGGTTATTTTTAAAATAAATTTTAAGAAATGTAAAATTTATCAATTTAATAATTTTTCCTAAATTACAAAACCATGTTAAATAAGTGACCCTGGAGCACAAAACCAGTCATAAGGGTCAATTTTTCGAAATTGAGATTTATGCATCATCTGAAAGCTGAATAAATAATATTTCCATTGATGTATGGTTTGTTAGGATCGGACA